CGCCTCTCTCGTCTACATAGTCCACGACGGTCAGATTAATAGTTTGCTCCCGCGGCCGCTGAAATACGTGATTTATAAGTGGGCCAATCGTGCCAACCCAATAGTCGAGCCAAAATCTCACCGTCTCAAATCATTTATAATTATTAATATATGAATTTAACGAACTCAAATAGGATATATATACTCAAATCGTTCAATTAAATTATTTTGGTCCTGATCACTAGCATTTTGGGCCTTTCGTAAATATGTTAATTAGTGCCCTTTTATGTGTTGACTATGTTATTTAATTTTTTTTTAATGAATAGGACATTTAAAATAAAATGATATATAAATTGTTTAAAAACGAGTCCTAATCAAAAAATAATTTTAGGAATCAATAACAAAAATAAACCACGTACAATTTAGAAATCGATAACAAAAATAAACCACAAATCAATTAATCGTGTGATAAAAGTTTGTGTATTTGTTTATGTTGTTCACTCAATGAAATTAAAATAAAAAGTTTCTATTTCATCTCATTTCAGTTTTTCCTCTACATATGTCCAACATTTGTTATATATTTTCATTAAAAAAACGCTTATAATCACGTTTTATCTCAAATATAATCATTCGTAATCACAAAATCCCCCTATATTTAATTCTTGCGCTCAACCTACGTGGTTACTTCTGGTGCTTCAAAATCCTACTTGGCGAAAAATCATAATTGTAATTAGGTTTGACAAATAATATTGTATATTAATAATTAATAAAATTTAGGTTCGGACATTCGACAAATATTATTAAACTAAATTAGGTATTTTAATATCACTTGTACTAATATAACCTTTTAATTCTTTGTATTTCACATAATAAGAAACTAAGTGACTAATATATCCCCGACTTTTGATTTGCTTCCTTTAATTAGCTATTGAATTGTAAATGTATTTTAAAATTTGATAACTTTTGTATTTCTTATTGGTTTTACATATATATTATATCAAATTAATCATCTGTTGATGATCTTCGATTTGGCATCCATTTTGTATATATTAAATAGACAAATTATATTTATCTTTATAAGACCAAAAAATAATAATATTTATTCAGATTCAAAATAAATATAAAATTATTTCTCAATTAATATATTTATGTTTAATGTAGTTATATGTTATAAGTTAAAAAAATTATTTAATATAACACAAGTAAGTCGCACAAATAAAAAAAGTGTCATACTAAATATATAATAATATATATTTTTATAACAAATATTTAAATTTTCAACTAATTTTTCTCATTAATATATTTTAAGATTTAAGAAAAACTTAGCCAACACCCGTGTAATACACAGGCGTTGTACTAGTTATTTCAGTATTACTAAAATTAATATTTTGTTACTTTTTTATCTATATTTAAAAAAAGAAAAAAGAAATTACATATCTAGTCACAACAAATTTGCCTGAGTATTTAGGGAAGATTTTTTTTTTTTACAATGGTAAGTCGATAACAATTAGGCCGTACTTCTTGCGGTTTTTCATAAATATTCATATCCCCTTCTCTATATATTAATCCAGAACGCGCTAAATCTACGTGATTGTTTCTGGTATTTCAAAATTCTATGTAGTAAAATTACATGCTTCGTTATTAGACTTGTGTAGACTTTAATTTAATTCCAAATAAAAAATAATTAGGTTCGAATTAGCATAAATATGTTGGTTATTTATGGTCATGTTACATGTATTAATTACATTTTATTATCATTTTTTATTATAACTATTGATTTGTATATATATTTTAAAAATTAATAACTTTTGTATTTTTTATCAGTTTTACATATGTAATATATCAAATTAATCTTCTTTTGATGAGCTTCGATTTAACATCCACATTGTATGTATTAAAAAAATAATTTATTTTTATCTTTATAACAATAGTAAAATTATTTTAATATTAACTAGAAAAATAAAATTATTTATCAACTAATATATTTATATTCAAGTAGTTATATGATATAAGTTATAAAAACTAATATAATATAACACATGTAAGTCATAAGTAACACATATCATTCTAAATTATATAGTAATATATTTTTTTTGTAAAAAAGTAAACTAAAGTTAATATAGTTTTCTCATTAATTTTAAAATTTAAGAATATTTTTTTAACAAGCACCCGTAATACACGGGTGTTGTACTAGTGTTCATTAAAAAGAAAATACTACATTATATAAAATTACAGGACAATTAAGCACGATACTTGATACTCTCTCCTATTCATTATAAATGTCGTTTTGAGAAGTTGCACAGTTATTAAGAATATTGTTTTTGTCAATAATAATCCTCATTAATGAGGATAGAGATGAATGTTTTGAGAAAAAATGAAGAGTGAATATGAAAAGACGTAGTGTATTTATTAGCTAGATGAGTGTAATAATGAAAAAACTAGTAGATATCATGTGCACATGCACAGATGTATATAAGATATTAGTAAGTAATATTTGAGAATTTAATATTAAAATTCTAGATAATGAACATATTATATTTTAAAAAATTTGATCATTAGGAAAAATAAATTAACAATTTTATTATTGTAAACAATTGTTTATTATCATTAGATAATAACAGATTGATTATTATTATTATTAAAAAAAATTATAAGTTTCTAAAGTTGTTTGACTATACTATTAAAACAATTTACTAATTATTTTTAAATAAATTTTTTCATAGATATAAAAAAAAAAGATAATTGTAACGCAAAATTTCGTATTATTAAATTAATAAACACGAGAAATTCGTATAAATTGATTTTCAACAGATCAAATGAAATATAGTGGATTACAAATCTCTATTATTCCTCTGATTAATTTCTTCAAGATTGATCTTCAAATGAACATGAGACTTTTGGAGACGAATCTTCAGCTTGGTCCCCGCCGGTCTTGAATATGGATTTAAATAACGTTCCTTCGAGGGCTTGATAACTTGATCTCGAATCGAACGTTGAGATTTCCCAAGAACGTGAAGAACACGACTCCTTGGTCTTCGCCGCAAAGTTGATTTTGATCTTCTTTACGTCGGTATTGACTTCAATAACGTAATTCGGAGGCTTAACAGTTTGTTTCCGGATTGAACGTCAGTTTTAGGCTTGAACGCGCTTGAATCTTCCTTCGAATCTTCAAGAATGCCTTTGAATCTTCAAAACACTTGAACTTTAATAACGCAATTCGGAGGCTTGACAGCTTGTTTCCGGATTGAATGTCGGTTTTGGGCTTGAACGTGCTTGAATCTTCCTTCGAATCTTCAAGAATGCCTTTGGATCTTCAAGAACACTTGAATCTTGTGGAGAGAATTCTCTAGAGCTCTTGAACTTGAATATGACTTGTGGACTTGAATATGAATATGATTTTTTTTTTCACCTTAGGGAGAGCCCCTATTTATAGGTGTTGGGAGAGAGAGTCTTGGAAAAGAAGACTTCAATTTGATTGGTCCATAATTTTTAATAATTATCTCTTAATAATTATTTAAAGAGATAATTAGGAGAGAGAGTCTTGAAAAAGAAGACTTCAAACTGATTGGTCCATGAATTTCCACTTATTTATCTCTTTAATAATTATTAAAAGAAATAATTATTTATTTAATTCTCCCAAAATGACATGTGGCATTCTTTAATTGGCCTTCAAAATATCATGTGGCATTTTTAATTGGCCAACAATATATATTAAATAATTAATTAATTAACTATTTAATTTAAGAATTAAAATTTGATTAATTTCTCAAATAAAATAGAAAATTATTATATTGATTTTGACATGGAATTTTGACACTTGTCGCCATTTAATTGGCTCAAAATTTATTTGTCTACAATAATATTGATGTTAATATAACTAACTTGAAACAATTGTTTATAATTATATAATTTATATTTAATGTGAATTATTATTAGTTAGTATTAGCAATAACTATTATATAATTTATAAGAAAAATATATGATTACACTTAATATGATGTTTTAATGTGAGAAGTAAAAAAATATTAATGATAAATTTTGTAACTGAAAATAGAGGGAAAATTTTAGTGGTTTTATTAAATAGGTAAAACTAAATGCTAAGCTAACAATTATATATATATATATATATATATATATATATATTAAAAAATAATTGTTTATAATATTCTAAAGTTGTTTAACCATGCTATTAAAACAATTTACTAATTATTTTTAAAGAAATATTTTTATGAGATACAAAAGAAAAAAATAATATTGATGTTAACATACATAACTTGAAACAATTGTTTATAATTATGTAATTTATATTTATTGTGAATTATTATTAGTTGGTATTAGCAATAACTATTATATAATATAATAGAAACATACATGATTACACTCATTAAGATGTATTAATGTGAGAAGTAAAAAATATTAATGATAAATTTTGTAACCGAAAATGGAGGGAAAATTTTAGAGGTTTTATTAAATATTTTATTAAATGCTACATGCCAGCAATTATATATATATATATAGATAGATATGTATAAAATATCCAAAACGACATTTATTTTGTTAATAGTATAATGTCAATAATAACCCTCATTAATGACATTTTTTGTTCAAAAAGTATGATGAGTTCACCAGGTCGTAATTGTCAATTCAAGAAATTATGTGTTTATAATAATGAGACGAACACACAACATAATTAAACCTGCAATCACACACCTATTGATTATGTTACAACACCAATGTATAATTATATATATCAACCATTACACATAATTTATTTACCACAAATTAAATAATCAAAAGATTGTAGTGAGAATACATTAATTATTCCATAGGCAATAAATAATACTCCTATATATATAAGAGAGAGGATAAGGAATCATGACTTATTTATGTTAAGATTAAAAAATATTAAAATTAAATAAATAAAAAAAATTCTATACTTAAACCCTATAAATTATTGCTCACTTTGTCCTCATTATTCACCTTCACAAACACTAAAAATTATTGTGGCCAATATATAATTAATGGAGGACACAAAATCAAGGTTTAAAAGGATTTGTGTATTCTGTGGTAGCAGTTCAGGCAAGAAGCCAAGCTATCAACAAGCTGCTGTTGACCTCGGAAAAACACTGGTAATTTAAATTAATCATTTATTTTAGACATATATTTAGAATTTAATCATTAATATATATATATATATAATATGTTTAATTCAATTTATTATATTAAATGTTATTTTATTTTAATTATAAATTTGAAAGGTTGAGAGAAGGATTGATTTGGTTTATGGAGGTGGAAGCGTGGGTTTAATGGGCCTTGTTTCTCAAGCTGTTCACGACGGCGGCCGACATGTTCTAGGGTACGTACGTATATACATACATTATATATATATATATATATAATTAACTATATATATATATATATATATATATTTTTAATTAATTATTTATACATTGTATTCTTATTAGTATTAATAGTAATTTTTAGCCCAATATAAAATAATTAATTTTCTTCTAAATTTTGTTGCAGGGTTATGCCAAGAACTCTTATGCCTCGAGAGGTAGGAAAAGCCAAAAAAAAAATCAATTTAATTAAACATTATCTAATGATTAATTAATTATTATTATTATTGTTATTATTATATAGTTGATTTATATAGTTAATTAAAATCATTATTATTGTAGATAACCGGCGAAACTATAGGAGAATTACGGGCTGTATCTGATATGCACCAAAGGAAAGCAGAGATGGCTCGTCAAGCCGATGCCTTTATTGCCCTTCCAGGTATATATATAATATAAATATCAAAACTATATAAATTAAAAAGATGATACGGTCCGGTTGTGGAATCATCCTGTCGGTGTCGGGGTTTGTAACAGTTGGATCAACTATCTATAACAGTTACATAGTGATCTAACGATTACAAACTCTAACGGAATGATTCTATAACGAGACCTTATTATTTCCCTATAAATTATTACATGTTGATGATTATGGTTTTTTTGTTTTATTTTAGGTGGCTATGGTACTCTTGAAGAGTTGCTGGAAGTTATTACGTGGGCCCAGCTTGGAATCCACCGTAAACCAGTACGTAATTAACAAGATTAATAGTAGTGTAATTTAATTTTTCTCTTAATTTAAGTTGTAGACTAGTCAAGTGAACCAATACAAATTGACTGGCTCGGCTCGTCTCGTTTCGTTTAATCGACTCAAAATTTTAGTCTGTTTGAAATTTGTGTAAAAAAAATAATAAAATAAATAACGGCTCACCTCTAATTACAATTAGGTACGAATTAATTGTGTTGATTTCTTTTTAAGTGTGTGTTCCATTCAAAAGTTTAGTTATAGAACATGGAAGGAATCAGGTCAACCGAGCTAATTATTTTTTTCTTCAGACCACATTATTAACTAACCGGTAATCGTGTCTAAGAACACTTAACAGTTTGACTCGGGTCGTCTCGTTTCGAAGTTTTTTTTTTTTTTTTTTTTGAAATTAACAAAGGTGTACACATTGATTAGTAATTGAGTCAAAAAGAGTAGCTAGCTAGCCTTTGGAAGGAAAACATGAACACATGTTAACTTAATTCACATACATTAATGGCACTTTTGTATTGTTTATTATGAGCTAGTTTAATTTAATTAAGTTTAAACCATTAGTTTATTTAATTTTTAATCATATATTAATTAATTATTAACAAAAAAATGTTAATTAATTGCAGGTTGGACTATTGAATGTGGAAGGTTACTACAACTCTTTGTTGTCCTTCCTTGATAAGGCCGTTGATGAAGGCTTTATTTCCCCAATTGCACGTCGCATAATCGTGTCTGCCCCAACACCACAGCAATTGGTCACACAGCTTGAGGTGATTAAACCTTTAATTAATTAACTAAATGATGTTTAATTATAAAAGCATGATATAATATGAAAAGGATCCTTGTGATAAAATTAGTTAATAATTAATAATTAGATCTAGTAATTAAGTAGTTTATTAGGAATTTAGATTTTCGTGCATGCCAGTCTATAACTAATGATATAAGAAACGGGGGGAAACGGGAGTTCTTTGCTAGATTGACTAATGGTTAGACGGTCATTCTATTTTAACACGTGTGTATACTTTAATACTCGAATAATGTTATATATTAAAATGCAATATAAGTAATAGTATGACATTTCATAGTATAAATGTGTAGTTTTTTTAACAGAGTTTTTTTCAATAAAATTTGTGTTTAAAATGTGTAGTATAAGACTAGACAATAAAATTTGTGTTTAAAAAAAAAAAGAGTTTTTCAATACATTTACGTAATTTAATACTTAAATGTTATAGTTTAAAAATTATTTCATACTATAAATATATGTTTTTTTTAGGAAAGTATGATTAACGAATGGCTGAATTTGTTGTTCTGAATGAAATTAAGACTTCCAATTTTTTTTTTTTTTTTT